ATACTATAATTCTTCTACTCGACCTCTTTTTTCTTCGACGTTTCCCATTTCTTTTTTATACTATTATGTTACATTTTATCATTTTTATAATGTTTATCATAATTATTATTTGTCATTCTCATATTTTTCATCCTCCTTTTATGATAGTTTCTTTACCTTTCTTTTTTTCTTTCCCTTCTTCCTACATTCTTCCTCTTTTCCCCCTGCAGCATTTCTATTTTCTTTCTCTCTTTCTCTTTTTTGTGTTCTTTTTTCCTTCTTAATTTTCTCTCTCTCTTTCTTTTCTTGTTTTTTTTTCCTTCTTCTTTTCTTTCTTTTCTTTTTTCTTTTTTGTCCCTTTTTTGTCATTTCTTCTTCTTCTATTTCTTTTTACTTCCTTTTTTTCCTTCTTGTTCCTTTTGTAAAATCCCTGATGGACGTTAGACAAGGGAAGCAGCCGATTAAATGGTCGTTCTTGCTGAGCCTTAATCAGACGAGTTGAAACGAGTCTTAAGAGGAAGACGTTTCAGTTCGTTTCGTCTCGTCGTCTGTTTTCGGAAAGACACGCTCGTTGCAGCAATGGTCGTAATGATTGCAATGACAGTTTCCGTTGCAGAGAATGTTTTGATGGGTTGGAGACGATTTTGGTGTCAATTAGTTTTTTTTTTCTTCTTCTTCTTCGGTTATCTGTTTTTGTTTCGTTTTGTTGTTAATTACTGGTATCATTGGTTGTATGATGATGATAATAGTGATCATAATCTTTGTTCTTGTCATATCTGTTATTTAATATCAATAATAGTACTAATTGTAGCATTATTATCAATATTACCGTTATTACCTCTATAATAACTTATTATATTCTATAATTCCATCACTTATCACTGTTATTATTACTATCACTATATCCATCACTAGCACTGTCATTATCAACAGTAATTATGTCAACAAGAACAATAATAGTACGTCAGCTGATCGCAAACATCTGAGCGAGGTCAAGCGCAATCTGGAAAATAATTGAAACATTTTCGGAAACAACTCCTAAACTCTGGCAATGTGTTTCAAGTTATAAAAAGAGATGCAAGGCGTAATTATCGTTAGGTGATTAAGAATGAAATGGATGTGCTAGAACTATTGTCGTTGTTGTTGTTGTTGTGTTTTTTTTGTGTTATTTTTTAAGACCACTTTGTACTTTTTTCGACCCCTTCCCTCTCTCTGTTTTTGTCTTTCTCTCTCTCTCTTCTCTTTCTCGGTCTTCTCTCCTCTGCTCTCTCTCTCTCTCTCTCTCCCCTCTTTCTCTTCTCTTCTCTCTGTTCTCTCTCTCTCTCTCTCTTTCTCTCTCTTCTTCTCTCTGTTCTCTCTTGCTTCTCATCTCTCTTCTCTCTCCTCTGTTTCTCTCTCTATCTCCGTTCTCTCTCCTCTCTTGTTCTCTTTCTCTCTCATTCTTTCTCTCTCTCTCTCTCTCTCTCTCTCTCTCTCCTTCTCTTTCTCTCTCTCTCTCTCTCTCTTCTCTCTGTCTCCTCTCTCTCCTCTCTCTCTCTCTCTCTCTGTCTCTTCTCTCTCTCTCTCTCTGCTCTTCTCTTCTCTCTTCTTTCTCTCTTTTGCTCTCTCCTCTCTCTTCTTCTTCTTCGTCTCTTCTTTTCTCTCTCTCCTCTCTCTCTCTCTCTCTCTCCTCTCCTTTCTTCTTCTCTCTCTTCCTCTTTCCTTCCTCCCTCTCTCCTCTTCTCTCTTCTCTCCCTCTCCTCTCTCTCTTCTTTTCTCTTCTTCTCCTCTCTCCCTCTCTCTCTCCTCTTCTCTCTCCCTCTCTCTCTCCTCTCTTCTCTCTCTCTCTCTCTCATCTTCTCCCGTTCTCTCCTCTCTTCTCTCCTCGATCCTCTCTCTCTCTCTCTCTCTTCTCTTCTTGGCTCCTTCCTTCTCTCCTCTCCTCTCTCTCCCTTCTTCATTCCTCTGCTCTCCTCTTCTCTCTCTCTCGCTCTCCCTCTCCTCTCCTCCTTTTCTCTTCTCTTTCTTTTCTTCCTCTCTTGCTCTGCTACTTTCTCTCTTTCTCTCTTCGCGTCTCTCTCTCTCCTCTTCTCTCTTCCTCTCTCTCCTTCTGTTCCCTTCTCTCTCTCTCATCTCACGTCTCTCTTTTTCTCCTCTGTATGTCCTTCCTCGTCTTCTCTCTCTCTCTCTTCGCTTTCTCTCTCCTCGTCTCTCTCTCTCTCTCTCTCTTTCTCTCTCTCTTCTCTCTCTCTTTCTCTCTCTCTCGTCTCTCTCTCTTCCTTCTCTCTCTCTCTCTCTCTCTCACTCTTCTCTCTCTTCTCTCTTGCTCTCTCTCTCTCTTTTCTCTCTCTCTCTCGTCATTCTCTCTTCTTGCATGTGTGTGTATATGTGTGTGTTGTATATATATATATATATATATATATATATATATATATTATAATATATTATATATATATATATTATATATATATATTATTATATATATATATATATATTATGTTATATATATATATATATAATATATATATATTATATAATATATATTTATATATAGTCCTGGACAAACAATACTCATGTTTTTTTTTTTATTATCATTATTATTTATTATTGTTAATTATTATTTTTATTATTACTATTATTAATTAATTATTGGTTATTTTTCCTTCTTATCCCGGATTTCCTTTCTTCCTCTCCGCCCTTTTTGCTGTTCTTCTCAATCTCGAACGTTATTCCCTTTTTATTTTATTTCTCTTCTCCATCTCTTTCCTTAGACCACACTGCTCTCTTCTTTGCCCTTAAACAAAACAAAACAATAAGAAATATCTCAAGAATCCTTTTTTTTTTTCTTAAAACGCACGTCATTTATAACTCGTACAGTAATTAAAGAGAATGCGGGTGGTAATATTTGCTAATCGGCCATTAATAAGCTTTATTGTTGCACCTTATCGCCTGGTGTTATTGCGATGCTTAGATCCTTTTTGCACTGGATGGAATGGGGATTTTCCTGCATGATTCAGTCTTTGAGAAGAAGAGAGTGAGGTGTATAAATATATATATATATACGTCTTATACAGACATAGTAATGGCATGTCCACGGCAATACCATAAATACGTTATTCGTATATGCATAATATTACAACACATGCGGCACTTACACACATACGCACCACGCAACACCTACAAACAACAAACAACACACACACACAACACAGCAATACACACATGACACAAATACAAACACCATCACACGCACGCGACACACACATACACACACAACGAACACAAAAACATACACACCAGAACAATCAAACAAACAACACTACACACACAACCAACATACACACACGACATAACACCCCACCACACAACACACCACCATACACATTCATACCCACGGCACACACAAACATAACAGTTTTTTTCTCCTTTTTCTTTCTTTTCTTTCATCTCTTAATATTATTTTTTAATTCATATTCAACATGTTCTAACATATTTATTTGTCACGGACAACAGCCTTGTATGTATGGTGTGTGCGGTTCTCGCCTGTTACAAGTGTAATATATTGGATTTTTCTTATTGTTATTTTGCCGTCTGAGCCTACAGGGAATTAAGGATTTCCTTTTCTCGTCTGCTTTTTTTTCTTTTTCGCTCTTTGCTCGTTGTGCGTTTATGATTGTGTGTGTGTGTGTGTGTGGTTTTGTGTGTGTGTGTGTGTGTGTTGTGTGTGTGTGTGTGTGTGTGGTGTGTGTGTGTGTGTGTGTGTGTGTGTGTGTGTGTTGTCTGTGTGTGTGTGTGTGTGTTTTGTTCTGTGTGTGTGCGTATGTTGTCTGTGTGTGTGTGTTTGTTCTGTGTGGTGGGTGTGTGTGTGTTTTGTCTGTGTGGTCGTGTGTGTGTGTGTGTGGTGTGTGTGTGTGTGTGTTCTTGTGTGTGGTGTGTGTGTGTGAGTGTGTGTGTGTTTAGTTTGTATGCTGTGTGTTGTGTATATGTATGTGTGTTGTGTGTGTGTGTGTGTGTGGTTTGTGGTGTGTGTATGTGTGTGTGTGGTGTGGGTGTGTGCTGTGTGATGTGTATGTATGTGGTGTGTGTGTGCATTACAAACTATGGTTCTTACATAGCTATAGAATCACGATACTTATCACCCGTCTTTTATATATCTAGCATAAGGGATGTTTTTGGTAGCGTTGGTTAGTTTGTTTTGTTTCGTCGGGTGACAGGATAATTTCAAAAGGTATGAATAGCATTTAGGATATATTTTTTTTTAGCAGGGTCTGTCTCAGCAACGGTGCAGTAAATTTTTATATATTGAATCATGATCCGTGTAGGATTTTTTTTAATTTCAAATGCAATTTTTTTTTTATTCTTTTTTTTTTATTACTATTATTATTATTATTCTATTTATTCGGTTTATTACTTTTTTATTTATTATTTTTGTTTATTTTTTATTATATTATTTTATTCTTTTTTTTTTATTACTATTTATTTTTTATTACTTTGTTAATCTCAGCAGTATACTTGAGAAAAAAGTGATTTTAATGTAATTCCTCGTGTCATATTTTTATTGCATGAGTGCCCATTGCCTGGCGGAGGTATGCGCTTCCCTGCGTGCTTTATAGCTATAATAATGAGTATAATTATTATAATAATATATAATTATAATATCATTTATAATAATCATTATTATAATAATAAGAACTATAATAATTATAATAATCATTATAATATATATATTATAATATATATATCTAATCATGAGTATATTATTACAATAATTATCATTATGATTCCTTCCCCTCCCGCAGGTACCTCAAGACCTTCAGGGACTCCAACTTCAAGCATGACCATTGGAAGACTAATATGGATAACCGTGAAATCGAGTTCATTGAGAATGTGTGCGAGGCCATCATGAAGAAACTTAATTATCATCCTCTGCCTCCGACTTGAGAGTTTTTTTTTTTTTTGTTTGTTTTAGGGGGGGTTCTTCTTCTTCTTCTTCTTCATTCTTCTTCCTTTTCCTTTATTGGCCGTCATGAAGAAACTTAATTATCATCCTCTGCCTCCGACTTGATTTTCTTCTTATTCTTTCTCTTTTTCTATTTTTATTCAGTCTTTTTCTTTTATTATTATTTTTTTTTTTTTATTCTCGTTTTTCCTCCGTTCGTGCGTCTTTTGTTTGTTTGTTTGTTTTCATTTTTTGATGGGTCTTGATTGACTTTATTGGCCGTCATGAAGAAACTTAATTATCATCCTCTGCCTCCGACTTGATTTTCTTCTTATTCTTTTCTTCTTTTTTTCTTTTTTTATTCTCAGTTTTTTCTTCTTCTTCTTCTTTTTTTTTCTTTTTTTATTCTCGCTTTTCCTCCGTTCGTGCGTCTTTTGTTTGTTTGTTTGTTTTCATTTTGATGGGTCTTGATTGACTTTATTGGCCGTCATGAAGAAACTTAATTATCATCCTCTGCCTCCGACTTGATTTTCTTCTTATTTCTTTTATTCTTTTATTTTTTTATTTTTTTTTTTTTTTCTTCTTCTTTTTTTTCTTTTTTTTTTATTCTCGCTTTTCCTCCGTTCGTGCGTCTTTTGTTTTTTGTTTGTTTTCATTTTTGATGGGTCTTGATTGACTTTATTGGCCGTCATGAAGAAACTTAATTATCATCCTCTGCCTCCGACTTGAGTTTTTTTTTTCTTCTTTTTTTTTTTTTCGTTTGTGCGTCTTTGTTTGTTTGTTTGTTTTCATTTTTGATGGGTCTTGATTGACTTTATTGACTTGCTTTGTTTTCCTACGCGCTATTTTTTTTTTTTCATTTTGTTTTCTTATTTGTATTCCTCTCATTTCATCCGTTTTTTATCTTCGACTTGGCTTTTTCGTCTTTGTTTTCTTCTCCTTTGTCTTCTTCCTCTTTTCTTTCTTCCATTTGTCTTCCTTCCCGTTTTGTCTTCTTCCTGCATGTCTTCCCCCTTATGCCTTCTTCCTCTTTATTTTCCTTCCCTTTTCTTCCTCTCCTTTATTTCCTTCCTCTTTGTCTTCCCTCCGTTTCTCTTCTTTCCCTTTTATCTTCCTTCCCTTTCTTCTTCTCCTTTATTTCTTTGCCCTTTGTCTTCTCCTCTTTCTTCCCTCACCCTTTGTTTCTCCATTTTGTCTTCTTTTACTTTCCTCTTCCACCACTTTATAACCCTCTACTTTGTCTTCTTTCCTTGGCTGTTTTGCCACTTTATCTCCTTCCATTTCCTTCGATATCCTTTTTCAATATCAATTTCCTGAAAAAAAAAAACATCGATGGTTTTTCTTCACCGTCTTTCGTTACTCTCGTATGCCTGGAATTTAATTTCTTTTATTTATGTACCTATTTATTAGCTTATCTCCCTATTCATCTATTTTTCATTTATCTATGTTAATACTGTAAAACTGTTTTTTACACATTAGCTTTCTACCTTATATTCATTACTTCTGAATATGGGTGATAAATTACTTTGTTATTAAAATTTTGTTTTCATAACCATTTATATGTGTCTCATGATATGCATAGTGGTGGTGGTTGTGTTGTTAGAAGTAGTAGTAATATTATTAGCAGTAGCAGTAGTAGTAGTAGTAGTAGTAGTAGTAGTAATAAGTAGTTAGTAGCAGTAGTAGTAGTAGTTGTAGTTAGTATTGTAGTAGTAGTAGTAGTAGCTGTAGTTGTAGTCAGTAGTAGTAGTAACGCAGTGTAAGAGCACAGTAAAGAAACATCATCAGTAGTAGTTATTAGTAATTTGTATGTAATATTAGCGGTAATAGCAATATCAGTGTAATACTAGGAATAGTAATAGTAGTTGTAGGGAAGGAGTGGTGATGGTGGTGGTGGTGGTAACAGTATCAATAGTAGTAGTAATAGTAGTAATATTTATATTAGTAACGATAATAATAGTTATAGTAGTAGTAGTAACAGTATAGTAAGTGGTGAGTAGAGTAGTAGTAGTAGTAGTATAAGTATGGTAGTAACAGTATAGTAGTAGTAGTAGTAGTAGTAGTAGTAGTAACAGTATAGTAAGTGGGTGTAGTAGTGTAGTATAGTAAGTGGTGAAGTAGTAGTAGTAGTAGTAGTACAGTATAGTAAGTGGTGATAGTAGTAGTAGTAGTAGTAGTAGTAGTAGAGTAATAGTAGTAGTAGATTATATCAGTAGAGATGGCGCTAGAGGTGGTGGCAGCAACGTAGTAATAAAACCCGTAATGTTGAGTTTCCTCCAAGGCTCCTCCATCCTGTGTTAAATCGTGCTATTCATACTTTTTTCCAAGATTGCGGTAAACATATTGAAGTCGTTTGAGCAACAAAAGTGAAGCCTCGTTTGTGGAGAATGATAAGGCTTATCAGTAACGGCTGTGTTGCTAAGAGTCTCATATCTGGTTCTCTTTAATATTCTCGAACAATTATCTCATTCTCTAAGCCTTATGCGGTAGTTAAATCTCTAGGGGACGGATGGATAATACTTGTTATCACATGAACTAAGAAATGCTGTCACATATCTTTTGTACAAATATGTGCATACAGTAAGTAAGAAATACTGTCACATATATTTTGTACAAATTTGTGCATACAGTAACTAAGAAATGCTGTCACATATCTTTTGTTCAAATTTGTGCATACAGTAAGTTACAATATGTATTTTTGGTTCGTGACATTATACATACAGTATATACATATACAGTATATACATATATATTTTTGTGCTTGTTTCTTTGCGCTTACGTGTGTGAGTAAGCGTGCAACTAAGAAATATGATAATATGAACGATAATAACAATGTTAATGATAATGATAATAAAACCAATAATGACAACAGTATTTAGAATAGGATCCTAATAGGTTCGAAATATGGTACCTTCATACATGCTTGTACTTGTGTGATTCTTTAATATTTAATGTTATCACTTCATCTTACATCAAAATGAAGCGACATCATTTCGCAGTCAGTTGAAGATGTATGTATGTATGTGTATATTATAATATATATATATATATATATATATATATATATATATATATATATATATAATATATATGCATATATATATATATATAATATACATATATATATACACACACACACACATATATATATAATATATATATATATATATATATATACATATATATGATTTCGGGTGTAACGGACGGACGAACGAATCCCAAGCTGAATTATATACTAGCTGAAAGTGCCTGCCATTCTCTGGGTACAAATCTTTCCTGAACAAGAACAATTGCGCGAAGAATAAAAAGCTACATATAGTATACGAGTATTATTTGACACTGACACACACACACACACACACACACACACACACACACACACACACACACACACACACACACACACACACACACACACACACACACACACACACACACACAGATAGATAGATATAGATATATATATACATGTATGTATAATGTATGTATGTGTGTATTAGATAGATAGATATTTCACATCATATTCTCAACTGCATCACTGTCGCTTAAAGGCTAATGTCGCCGTAAGTGATAAATTGGGGCCAGAAGAGGTATAAGAGGGTAACTACCTTCCCTTGTCATCAGGGCTGTCAGTCCAGTAATAACTTTTTGCTTTTGCATTACCCTATGACGTAGCGATGAAGTAGTAATGACGGATTCGGTTGGGCATGACGTCTGAGTCGGTAGATGGTAGATACTAGAAATGACAGGATAATTGTTTTTATGATATAGGCAGATATATAGATTATATTGTTTACTTTTCTTGCATTCAATACATCATATATATATATATATATATATATATATATATATATATATATATATATATATACAAAGTTGCTTTGGATTATGACCCACATAGTAATGACAACGAAAATATAACATAGAAGGCGAAACTTCCATTAGTTTATTTTGACGTCTATGGACAATAACGAAGCTAAAAAAGATAGATGCTGAACAACAAATGCACACAAAAATAACCCTTCAGAGAAAACAACAGTTGTGACGTCACAGTTTCCAGACTCGAACACTTAGCCAATCACAGGGCATCCAGTAATTCAGAGTCGGTTGTTGCGATAGCCCTGCTTGCCAGTTAGCCCAGCCATTCATGGTAGGCTTAATCATTAATTCCTGGACGCCGCCCCAACGCAGGATATAACTGCTCCCATTAACTGAGCATGTCCTCCATCCGCCTTTGCTGGTTACTCCCAAGTGGCGAGTCTTCCTTAACTGCTTTGCTTGTGTTGGTGTTCGTGCCTATGCACTGTTCTGCACGTCTGTAGTCGTCTCATCACTGTTGCCAACACTTCTTGAACCATGGAAACCATACCCGATAATCACTTTACTGATATTATTTAACCCCATTTATTGATAATAATTTTGCCACCAATGTATTTTTTTTTTTTTTTTTTTACTCTATTTTTCACATTAATAGGGAACAATAACAATCCCTCGCCAATGTAACGCTCAATTTTTAAGAATATTTAAGATATGTTCTTCCTGAATCTACTGTAATGTAAACAATCATTTCAAATTTTCTGCCCCACACTGTGACTTTCATCAAACTTAATCAACATTATGAATCTTCGGTAGTGCTGCCACCACTCGAGAATTTAGATTTAGAGAAAAAAAAATCAATTTTGACTCACCAAATTTTGATGTGGTAGCCTGGGCATAAAAAACTTTATCCACTAGCCAAAATTTAATAACTATTTAAATAACTAGAATGTTCCCTAGCAACAAAGCATCATGGCGTGTTGTTTTCACCACATTTTCTCAAACTCTTCTCTCTGTGTTTGGGGGCGGAAGCGAAAACGTCTAGATCATAATTCAATACACAGGGATTCCATAATAACATTAATCCACTTATGAAATTTACATATGATACTAGAACTTAACTTACTTGTGTTTAAGGCGGAAGCCAAGACTCGTCTAACCAGATGGTGAGGATATCTCTGCACTG